AAAAAAAAAAAAAAAAAAACACATAGAACATACACAGAAACAACCACAGAACATACATAGAGACACCACAGAACAATCACAGAACAAACGCAGATCACATACAGACAAAACACAGAAATACTCGGTCGTCTGTCGTGAAAACACAGAACTCAACACAGAAAAAAACACAGGAAACATGTTTCAAGGATTTCCCGAGTCTGCGAGAGATAGAGACGGATTTCCAGCGGTTGCATGCCATTTATGGCCACAAGGCTAGAATCGGCTAGGCTAGCTCCCGTGTGCGGTCCACAGATGCTGTGGCCAAATGCCAGGACATGGAGCTGAAAGCCAACGAGACAGATAAGCTCATCAAGGGCATGAGCCTCAAGCCTACTGATGACTCGCTGAAGTATGACTGGAACACGGAGGCAAGACATTTGGGCTGCATCACCTCTGGCCACAGCTGTATGCATGTAGACTATGACTAAGCCGAGTGCCCCTGCTACACCGACGTGTTGCTCTCATGCCCGCTAGAAAGAGGGGGCAATCTAGAAAGTGAGGGCAGGCGGCGCTCTTTCCACACCTTCCAGATGCGCATGACACACGTGGTACTTCATCAGTTCGCCAGAGTTTTGATGGTTTTGTCAACAGGTCTGATGTGACATTCTTGTGGTAAAGCCATGTGAAGCCTTTCGACTGTAAGTGCTGTTACGAGAGGATGCCTACCACATGTGGGTCAGTCTGGGGGATGACATTGCTGTTTTCGGCTGCCACAGGGTGACGGCAGCGAGCACAAGGCCAAGATCCAGGCGATCTACAACGGAGAGGCAAATGTCTTGTAGTGAGGATTTCGTGAGTGGTAGAGCTGCTTTTGCAGAAGGACTTCGTGAAAAGCTGCAACAGTGGCTCCGATGTGGTTGGCTTGGTGCTGGACCGTACTCCATTGTACGCAGAGCAGGGTGGCCAGACTTTTGACAAGGCTCGACAGGGTCAAGCATCCGGACTGGCCCAAGACTCATACTGTGGGCAGGCTTCCATCGTGTGTGGTAACGTTGAGTTCAGCGTAGACAACACGCAGAAATACGCAACTTGGAGATAGTTGCGGGTCAAGGTGCTCAGCCACTTTGGTGAATGCCATGTTCGACTGGTGCTCAGGCCGGCTATGTCCTGCACGTTGGGCAGGTGGAAAGCCAGGGCGATTTGAAGGTCGGCGATGAAGTGGCCGTCAAGGTGCTTTGACACTTCAGGACCCCAGGATCATAGCCACTTCAAGCTTCAGCCTGAAATTTTAACTAGCCTCTGGCATGGCTGCTCCAAGGTTGACTACACTCGGCGATCTCTTGTGGCAAAGAACCACACGGCAACACACATCTTGAATTTTGCGCTTCGTCAAATTCTTGGGGAGAAGGTAGATCAGAAAGGCTCCCTTGTCACCGAAGACAAGCTGCGATTCGATTTCTCGCACAATAAGCCAGTAGAACCAGACGAGCTCAAGAAAATCGAGGAGATTTGCAACCAAATGGTGCAGAAGGCTTGCATTGTGCATTACCGCGACGTCGCGCTTGACACGGCAAAGGCAATCTCTGGGCTGAGCCGCTCAGCTTCATTAGGGCAAACAGGCTTGAGCCCTTGCATTGCGGACATTTCCTGGACCTAGGAGCGGTGTTTGGCGAGACTTACCCGGATCCTGTGCGCGTTGTGAGCGTCGGCCCGAAGATTGACGACCTACTCTCTGATAAGAAGACTCCATGGGGCCTCCAGAACAGTGTGGAGTTTTGCGGTGGCACGCATGTGGCCAACAGCAAGGATTGATTTACACAGCTGAAACATGTATGAGCTGCTGGTCATTCCTTCGACTAGACGGCACACAGACCTTGATGTGGAGCAGGGTGCTTGAGTAAAATACCTTGTGCAGAGCAAACCCGATGCTTCTTTACCCAGCTCGCAGGAGATTTACAAGTTCGTGTTGCTGCAGGAAGAGGGTATTGCAAAGGGCATCCGGCGCATCGTTGCAGTCACAGGCTGGAACGCGAATACCTGTCTGGTTCTACTGCTGACATTTATCGCCTGCCTCCTGGCAGGACCCCAGGCAGCTGTTGAGGCGACGCTCAAGGCAAAGAGCCTTAGCCGCCCGCCAGCATTGCTCAGCTGCTGTCAAGTGGCGTAAGTAAGGAACTCGCGTGCCCGGATGTGCGTATTGTACAGGTTCGGACTTAGATGGCTTCAAGGGAATGTCTCCGGGCACAGAGCTTGACAAATGCATTGGCGACCTGCGCCGAAGAGTCACCGAGGACATCCTTCATGATCCAGGGATGCTTCTTCAGATTTCTCCAGTGTTGATGGACATCTTACATTTTGACGGAGCCGTGCCAGTTGACGTAGCCTACATGCTGAAGGGTCGATCGTTTTATCGTTGCTGCCCAGGTAAGGCGTGCCGTGTTCCAACGCAATGTTTGAGCATATTTCAAGCTAGAGCAGCAGGTCTTGAACAGAGCAAGACTTCAAAGCAATCAGCAGGCTGTGGCGTCACAGCATACTTTGAGCTGGAGGGTTGAAGGAGGCTGCTTTAGAATCGCGACGGGGGCTGTGCTCCGCATGCACAGGACAAAGAGGTCTCCTTGCTGATGAAGTCTGATATCATGACTCAGCTTGAGACCTTGTGTCTTTTCTGCAACTTATTGCTTGAAGAGCTTCAGTTCCCTGACCACCAGACCTTGCTTGGGCGCGCCAAGGGCGAAGGGCTCACTCAAGGCGGGCAAGGAGCAAACGAAGAAGTTCGAAGGCAAGGCCAAAGAAGATGGCGAGAAATTGGGCGACGGCCTCAATTTTCTACCCGCCAGTGCTTGGCTATCGTCGGCGGGCTTTGCAGACCTCCGAGCGAGCGTAACAGCTTCCTTCAGCTGAGGCAAGGAAGCGGCCGCAGCATCCGGCGACACCTTTGTTGGCATCGTGCAAGCAGGGGAAGGCTGCGACGACGCAAAGGTCCTTACGCCAGCCATGGAGGCTGCCATCAAGCAGTGCCCCAGCAAGGCCCCGCTGAAATCCCATGTCAATGCTTTGCGCTTTGCTTGGTCTTTCTGTCTCAGCAGAGCAGGCCATCATGCTGATGAGCAACATGGGCGGGAAACTCGCGATCCTGGCTGTTGTCCCTAAAGCCTTGGCTGGCAAACTGTCGGCAAAGGCTTGGTCCAGCAAGGTCCGGCGCGCGTTTCATCATGCCATGCAGTGCTGGGCAGCCTTTGCGTGCACACTCTACATCAGGTCCTAGATGCAATCGGCGGCAAGGGTGGTGGCAAGGTGTCAAGTTGATAATTTGGGCGCCGACAGTTTGCAGTTGAGCGTGTTGCCATTCTCTGGGACAGGACGACCGTGCACAAGGCCAGGGAGATGCGTCAAAGCTTGACCTGGCGGTCAGTACAGCCAAGAGTTATCCTTGAGAGGCAGTAGAGAGACGTAAAGAAGCTTAGCATTTTTCCGCGCTTGCTGCTGGGATCCGCAAATGCTAAAGCCCAGCCTGCTGAAGCAAGCTCCGGAGGAATGATGTTGTCGGCATAGGATAGGCAGCTTTGCACGCTGGTGGCGAAGCCTCAGCCGCAAGCTTCGTTTATGCCTGTTGTGTATTGTCCTGATGTGCCTGGGCTGCACAGATCCTGGTGAAGCACTGAGAAGCACCTGCCAGCACACGCTAGCGGCTGCTTGTTATCAACAGCCGCCTATTGCAAATTCTTCCTGGGCCATTTGTAGATGTCATCGGTGCTGAACATGGATAGCCCGGGCTATCCCGGGCTCTTGTTCTCGTGGAAGAGAGTCGCTCATTGGTGCTGGCAGCGATTGTCGTGTCTTGCCAGGAGACTCCCACATTTCAAGGACCTGCACTTGTAAATGGTCCCAGCTGTTAAAGCCGACGCTAGACACGCGCGTTTCCGAATAAGAAAGTATGGTGGCTCTGCTGGCTGTCCTTCCCCACATGATTTGCATTTGATTTTCACTGGTGTCCCGCTCAGGTCTCTCAGGATGAGGTCAAGCTTGAGCAGGAGGGCTGCCTGGTGACTCATGGTGACTCGATCTCAGATCGCCATGCGCTAGCCAGCCATCAGGCAGAAGATGACAAGAACTGGAGGGCAGCGAGCCCAGCGAGGACACGGCCATTATTGTTGTTATTGATTGTTATACATATATATATATATCGTTATTCTGATCACTATTTTGAAGTTACTTGACTGCATGCTCTTTTTTTATGGCTTAACGGCTGGCCCGGTTGAAGGCATCTCGCGAATGAAGCATTTGTGTATCCATATGCGCCTTCCGCATATACTTTTTTAGATCGTTTTCCGTGCGTCCTGCCAGCATGTCCATGGATGGTGCGGGCCTCCCAAGCGTGCTGCCGGCAGATGTCTTGGCAGAGCTCAAGGAGACTTCTCAGAAGCTTTGCGCGCCAGGCGCGAAAATGGGAAGCGGGCAAGAACAGGCAAATATGAACATGCACTGGCTGAGGATGGGGGACCCCAAACCTTAAAACTCTCAACCACAAACATTGATGCTTGTCGAGTACTTCTGACAAGACAGCTGAGGCAAGGGTTTTCTGGCCTCCGATGAGAGCGCTGGACCTTGGCTGCGTGCGGGCCATGCAGAGGCAGCCAAGATCCCAGAACCTTTTCACAACAGTTGGAGTCAGAATCACGGTAAGTAAGCCCTAATGACTGAGCGTGGGAATCGGGATTTTGGATTGAAGCAAGTAAGAAAAATGATGGTGTAAGGGCGTACTTCTTATAGAAGCTCATGACATGCCTTCACCACTTGCACAAAATTTGCTGTTCATTGAGGCTGCCTGGAAGTCCGATAGCACATGCACCCATGACCTAACAACCACTGTGAAGAGCAGGCAGGAGACTGGAAGGGCTTGGTTGGTTCATTTGAGCATTTGTCATGCTGTGCCTAGCGTCCTAGGCATGTCTGTCATGTTTTATGACAAGGAGCATTGGTCTATAGACTTGGAAAGCTAGCAGGTAGCAATCCTGTTGATGATCGTGTTTTGGTTCTGGCGGATCGTAGGCAACAGGCATGTTTGATGAGCGCAAGATGCACTGGTATGGCTGTGACAGCTGAGGATGTGATTGAGAACAGGGCTGCTTACCGAGCAATGTGCTTCTCCACACCCGGTTTGAGCGAACACATCAGTGGAGTCATTCTCCATTGGGAGACTCTCATGCAAGATGATGCAAAGGGTAAGCCCATGGTGGACATCATCAAGGAGAACGGAATGATTCCGGGCATCAAGGTGGACAAAGGCTACAACAAGAAGGGAATGTGGGGAACACCGGTCGGTCCGCTTGGCCATCCGGAGGTTGCAACTGTGGGCTTAGACGACCTCCAGCAGCGGTGCGCGCAAGCCTATCAAAAGGGTGCCCGCTTTGCCAAGTGGCGCAATGTCCTGCAGCTGGATCCATCGAAGTCGATGCCCACAGATTTGGCCATTGCGGACACTGTGCACACCTTGGCACGTTATGCGTCCATCTGCCAGAGTGAACGCCTGGTACCCATCGTGGAGCCTGAAATTGTTCCCAATGGTAACCTGGTGATGTTTCAGCAGCAGTCGTTTACATGTGCAACATGGTGCACGTATGCTTTGGAAATGTGCAGGTTAAAAGAAGTTGGCTGTGAATCGAATGTGGACTTAGGCGATCACGACATCTACTATTGTGCCGAGATGACGAACAAGGTCCTGGCAGCACAATTCAAGGCTTTGGCCGATCACCATATTTACTTGGAGGGTGCTGTCCTGAAGCCCAACATGGTGAAGAACGGCTTGGGAGGTCCCAAAGCCAGTGCAGAGACCATTGCAACGCTGACTTGCCAAACCCTGCTGCGCACAGTTCCTCCTTCGATGCCGGGCATCTTCTTCTTGTCAGGCGAGACAGCCCTGAATGAAGATAATGAGGAAGAGGCCACCATCAACTTGAGCACGATGAACAGCCTCTTTGCTGGCAAGCTGCCGTGGCATTTGTCTTTCTCCTATGGCAAAGCCTTGCAGAAAACCTGTATCGTCACTTGGCTGGGAAAGGCCGAGAACGATGCAGCTGCGCAGAAGGCCTTGAAGGCGCGAGCCAACGCAAACTCGGATGCAGTCTACGGCAAGTACAAGAAGGGCAGCTGTGCTAGTGTTGGCACGGATGGCAACGTGATGCAGGCAGCAGGACCTTACTGAGGCTAGAGATAGCCCTGAGTTGCATCAAGTTGCATTACAGCCACATCATTGCCACATCATTCACTACAGATCGACTGCATGATAACCTAGAGCAGGGTAAGCGGCCCAGTGTACTTCAAGGATGTGAGCTGATACCATGGACACAACGTTTCGCCTAAATCCGGCTGACAGGCATAGAGGGGTGTGATCTGCGATCGCCTGACTAATTCGCTTGATATGTGTGATCACAGTGAAATACAGCAATACAATGCATGTCACGAGGGGTGCTGTGCTCTCCATGTTACCAATGTCATCACCTGGAATCAGCAAGGTGAGCTGAGGCATCTTTCACAGATGACAGATGCTTCCAGGGTGACTTCGATGTGTTGAGCTTCACCATTCAAATTTTAAGCTGCAGCAGATCGAACGAGCGAGAAAAAATTCGTGTGAGAGCGACATTTCATTTGGTGCTCTGATGCCCTTCCCAGACCAGGGGTACGCTTCGTCTCCGGAGCTTGTGTTATTATCATTACTACCAGTAGAATCACCATTCTTATTTCTGTTACTGAACTGTTATCATTATCATTATTGTTGTTGCTGCTGTTATCAGTATTTTGTGTTTCCTACTAAGGTACTTCCATACTTCGAGGCCAATTGCTTCATGGAACCCAGGCACCGAAGATCCGGTTGCAGCTATTTCGGTGTAGTGTTCTTTCTGCAGGGGCGACGCCATCCGTGTTTTTCAAACACACGGCGGGGGCCACTATCAGATGCTTGCCTGAGGCCAAAGCACGCAGAGCCTAAACGGCTGAGCAGCTAAAAAAGGAATGCGTCAAATGCTCAGATATAGTAGTTTGCCTAACTCAGGAGACCCCAACATAGACCCAAGTATACTACAGTCCTTACTATAGAAACCCCAAAAAGGTAGAAACCCTGTGCATGAAGACATCGCCGCCGCCGGATTCTATCACCTTATGTGATTTGTTGCTGAGTTTGTACAGGTGATGCACGCAAGAAGTTCTTGCCAAGTGTTATTGCGTGTAAGTTCGGGGGTTATATTGTCCAAACTTGGCACCGTCATTTGTGCGAGTGGAGATCGTCCACACGTTGCCTCCTCGTGCAATGGCGCCTTCAGCCTCAGGCTTAAATTCAAGTTTACAGCTTTCTGGGTCAAGTCGGCCTCGGCGCACAAGTCTTGTTTGGATAGACTTCGTTCACTGGCTGAGTTTCCCGCGATGAGGGTGCAGATTATTGGTCTTTTCCTGCTCAGGCAGGCGAGGATGGCCAATTGGAAAAAGCGGCCGATCTCAAGGACAAGAAGCCTGGAATTTGATGGCAGCGCATGCCGCAGACCGGCACACAGTTGGGATGCTTATCAGAGGAGAGAGGCAACCGAAAACTGGGCGCCAACGATTCTGCAGGCAGTGGTGCGTCGCTCAATGTAACAGCAGAAGATGCATTCGTGATCAGGTGCTTTGCGCTACTACGCAGAGGCCTGAGAATACACCAGCAGAGCCTGCTTCTGTGCTCCGCAAGCGGTGAGACGTGTGGCAGGCTTTGCAAGAGCTGGAAGGCCACTTGAAGCCTGCAGAAGGCTAGCATCTCATGTAGTCACCAATCCCTCTCCACAGCTGGGTGCCAGAGATAATCAACAGGTGTGACCTGGCCCGTGGCGCAGCTGGCTGCCATTCTTCATTCAAACAGCGCACAGGACGTCGGGTCGATTGAGCCGAAAGTTGCGGCATTGCCGAGCTTCTTCGGTTGCAGCTGTGCAGGCGCTCATGAAGCAGAAAAGGTGGCTAGAGGCGCTGATTCTTGCATGCTGCCAGGGAGCGGAATCTATTCGTAGCTCCCAGGCAATCGACAGGTGCCATGCTGCAGCAAGCTCGGGCAAGAGCACGTGAAGGCAAAGCAGTCAGAAGGGTTGCTGGAAGGTGATGTGTTTTCTCAGGCTCTGCGCTTTGATCCAGGCCACTCAAAGCACCGGCCTCACTTGCAACACGTCTCAGACTACATGCTATTTGGCGATTTTTGATAGGCCCAAACACCATCCCAATTTCATGTTGCCGGGCTTGAAGGTGTTTTTTGCTAAAGCTTGGCATTCTAAGGTTTCAGATTTAGTTGGCCTGTCCATCAGTCAGCGATGTCTGTTCCGGGTTCCGCAAATCCTGCGCTTTGTTTGAAAGATGTTTCAGCTCCAAATCTCGGAGGTCTGATACTAAGTACCCTACCCCAGTACTTCCAGCAAACACGAAGCGTAATCCTGCCAATGCTGGGTGGAAAGCTTGGCAAAGGTCTTCATGGAGAGGGGCAAGCTGTGCCGTTGAGGCTGGTGCGTGCTTCGCCTGGGTCTCTTCTTCTTTGTTGCTCTAGGTGGGTATGCAAGATGTGGCTGTCGCGTTTATCGAGTGGACGCCTCGTGCGGTCTTCCAAATGCCCTGGAGGATTTCTTGAGAAGACAAGTGAACAGCCTAGGAGTGGACTTCTGCAGAATCCCAACTGTACCGAGCTTTTGAACTTCCGAAGCAGGCCAGCAATTGCTGAGGAACACAGAAAGACCCTTACTAAGTCATTGTACGCCGGTGCACAATGCTCGCCTATATTTGTCATCCAGCACAGCCAACGCAAAGCAATGCAACTTCCATGCCAGGCTTGGCTTGCTGCGCCGCCCCCAGCATGATGTTTCCAGGTCTGTGTGGACAAAACAGCACTGGAGGTCTGACGTTGACATTGGCGCACGAAGCTCCGCACCCGGAAAAGGGAGGCTGAATCACAGAGCGTCTTTGGCCAACAGCGTCACTCAAGGTGAAAGTGACGAAGATGCGTGTCCCGCAAGCTGGCAGCTTCCACCCTGCAAGCAAGCGCAGGCGCGGAAATGACGTGACAGTCGAGCTGGAGTTGCTGAAAAGTTGCTGCTGCAAGTCAGGCATCGGCAGCAGTTACAAAAAGCATGCCGCCACCTGGAAAGGAAAAAGGACCTTGATTTGACGGTGGACTTGCGCAGAAGCGCCCGCCTGCAACTTGAATGGGCAACAGGAGACTAGAGCGCTCCCAGACATTCTCCTCGCGAACATCCTCATACACTTGTGAAGAGATGCCGTTTGAAGGATTGAGGTCATCTCAAGCCTGATCCACAACGTCACGACATGTCGTGCGTGACGAGATGTGATGGGACGGGCAATTTGCGGCAGGCGCGCAAAGTCCAGAATCCATGTCGCATCAACTTGTAAGAGAGGGTAACAGCATGGCTGCCACCAGAAGTGTGACGGCATTTGCAAGTGGGCTGGCCGCGGTGAAGACGTGATACAATTTGCGTGCCGTGTCGTTGGAAAGACTGCAAGCAGGAACATGTTGCTGCAGGGAGGGGGGGGGGCGGGTCGTCCACTTTATTCGTGTCTACATTTGGCTCAAGGGCGGCCTTCTGTACATTTCTGTATCGGTTTGTAATTGCGCATGTGTTGCATGCAGCTGTGGTTCGGTCTCGCGTAGAGTTTATTCCAGCAGAATGTCTTGGGCACAAGATTTAGAAAACTTTGCACTCATGGCACCTTCCCAAAATATGTGTGCAAGTGGCGAAGCTTGCAGCGCATGGTGAAGAAGCGGAACTTTTGCTGAATCAAACAGTTTTCGGCATGAAGCCGTGATGCTTTGCAGGCGTTCTGTCGTTTTGACTGTGGCCGGCCAGGAAATTGAGCGTCCTTGCACCTCACCCTCGGGAACCGCCGCCAGAAAAACTTCCTTCCTCAAGTACTCTAGAAGAGCTTGACGTGGTCCTTGCGACGTGACAGCATTTGGATAGCCCGCATCATTTTGTGTCACGGGATGGCAAGGTTCAAGAAATGTGTTTGGCATGCCCAGGACGATGATCAGACTCGGAGCTGGCTACTGAATCTGCCATCACTGGCTCATGTCTAACCTTTGTAAATCCCTGCTGGTACCCATGCGGAGAGCAAACATGAGCCCTCTTCGCTGATGACGAGGTCAGCTGGCTGAGGAGCTGCGGCAACAGACCTTGGCAGCTTTAAGCGCTTGGCTGCGCCGCGCAGAGGCAAGCAAGTGTTGCAGCATTCTTAGCAGTGTGTCCCTTCGGAGGGTGTTGGATGGGCCAGGTGACAAGGCGTCCGCAAGGTTCACCAGCATTTGCGCGGTCAACGCCACGAAAGGTGGGGCGTAGAAAGCGTACGTAAACTGCCCATCAGTTGCTCACATGCGTTTGGATTTCTTGTTTGCACTTGGACTGGTTCAGGCGTTGCCGTTGCGATTATCATGTTGGCCGTGTTTGCTTTGGTCTACGGCTTGCATCTTTTTTTTTTGCATTCGAGCATCATGTTTTTCTCTGCATAGCGCCCCAGTAGACTTTGATTTCTGTTTCATTGTTGCTTGCGTGCAGTTCCAGTAGAAATGAGGGAGCTCCAAGTACAGATCCCGTGCTCCAGGCAGGGCCCATTGATGGACCCACTGCTTGACGTCAGATGTATTCTTCTCCTTTCCTGCTTGCATTGCGCTTGTCGTCGTGCTTTTGGGGTCCATGCTCCTCTGCTAAGACCTGAAAAGTCAGCATCCTGCAGCCCATTGTTTTTGGTGATCAGTGCCCCTTGCCAAGCCTTTCTTCCGTCAACTCACTTGTACATGTGGTGATGTGACGCAACCTGACTGTATGGATGAACATGTGCCTTCGTGGAGGCTCCAAACAAGAAGTTCGTTGCCGGTGGCGCGTGGTGTGAATTCGCGCCTGTGGTTTAATTTGGCTGAGCGGGCTGTGGTCATTGTGGTCTGAACCGAATACCATTTTTGTAGTTAGTTTGTGTGTTCTTTCTTTCTGTCCATGTCATTCCATCTCCAAAAGCAGATGAGGCGCGCGATACCCTGTGTGAAAGACTGGCTGAGTGCCTCACATGCGCTTGGACTCATACGGGCGCAGAAGCGAGCTACGACCCTCCGATCAATCGCTTTTTAGCAGCATCACTTGCTGTAGCATGTCTACATGAGCGGTCAGATTTCAACCGCCTTCTTGTTTCTGCTGCTTTGGCGAGGCTTGTGGCGGACGTGCAAGATGCTCATTCGAACGCATCGTTCCTTCCTAGCTTTGCAGGTTCAGGTGCAGCAGGCGCTATGGGGTGATGAGATCAAGCAGCTGCGTTGGGAACCTCTTCAAGACTTAAGCAAAAGGTAGTCGATGACATCCTCTTGGTTCCGAACCGACCATTCTTTGTAAACTGTGTGAGCATGTGCAAGCCCAATTCCCGCAGGTGGAGGAAAGGCTCGGCTTGCGCGGTGAACCTGAAAGGGGGCACTTCGCCACCATGGCAGCTCATGAATTTCACTTGGAGGACGCACGCGGAGTTTGCCACCATTGCAACTACAAGAAATGAAAACCTGCTGCCCAGTCCAGGACTTCTGGCAAAGTTACAAATGCAGACCGACGACTAGTTGGGCATCAACGCCTGCCCCACACTCAGATTGACAGCCGCATCGGGTTCCCTTGCTTTGTGTGCCTATGTTGAAGGTGGTGTGCACGTCATCGGGCAAGTGGGACTTGCAGTTCCGTGGCAAAAGGGCGACCCCCAAGCCACAGTTCTTTGGAAGCTGGACTTCATCCCTTTTTGGTGTGCGGCCTTCCAGCCGAGCTGCGACTGCTCCTGGAGGCTACATTGGACATGATTCTGTCAGTCGTTTCCAGCCAGGACGCTTGCTTGGTGCAGGTGCAAGGAAGGATTTCTCTTCGACCATCCGTTCGCAGACGTCCATGAAGTGGAGCTCTTCCTTCCTGCTTGATGGCGGTGCTTTGGCAAATCTTATTCTGACAAGCATGGCGACTGTGGCAAGAGAAGAAAACATAGGAGTTTTAATCACTGAGGTGGAGAATCCCCTATGTCCATGTGGGCAGATTTTCCAGGCGCGAAGGCTTTGGTAGGTGTTGTGCGTTGTGCAGCCAACGCACAACGCGGCATTTGCTTAGCTTGACGCAGGGCTCGGCACCGTCTCCGATCGTTTTTCTCCGGAAGATGACGATTTTCAGGCTCTACAAAGCATGGAAGTGTCCAGCTGCTGCTAAAATGCAATAGTCCCAGTCTGTGCAAATGATAAAATCTAAGTTTTGTTGTCTTCGAGGCTTCAACTGGTGCTGCTATTTGCGCGAGGTTCGCAGCTCACATTTTCCACGGGCCGATCACCTGCATCGGCTCATTTAAGCGCGCTTGGGGATAATAGTAGGGCGTATGGACAAAGCATGCATGCATCATGAACAACCTTTGGAAACGGAAACTCTGGACAAGCGACGGAGGTTGTGAATTCGCCGATGCTTCTGGCAGATCCCAGCAAGTTTGACAAGCTCGAGGGATTGGAGGAGCTTCCGGTCATGGATTCGCCACTTGAGCAGCGACCCGACAGCACATGCGTGGTCAGAGCAAGGCTTGATTGGTTGGGTCCCTGAGGTATCTCCACGCTTGCAGCAAGCTTGGCACTCGACCGCGACCCCTGCCCTTTGTCACCGGCCATTCGCCGAACCTCCATGCGGCAGGTCACAGCTTGACGGACCAGGATCTTAACTTGCAAGCAGCAACGCTTTACCTTTTGCTATGCCCATTCTGACCCATTCCGTTCTAACTCTAATGCTGGACTTCAAACATGGGATGACGATCCTGGCTTCAGCGACAACATGGTGCCCAAAATGTTTCCAAGGATTTGCTGAGTCTGCTTACGCTGGCAAGGCAGGTAGATCTCATCGAGGACTGACAGAAGCCACAGAAAGCCGTTCAGCCATGCAGACCAATCGCGGAATCAGCATTTGGATGGGATGTGCTGTGTCGCCAGGAAGTGGATCTTTCAGACAACGCCAAGTTGACGGACGAAGGGATGATTCCATTTTTGCCACTTGTCCCTGTCATGTCCAGCAGTCGAGATTGACGACCAAACTGCAGGCTAATGTAGCAGAGAAAAGCATGGCGCAGCAGCTGTGTCGAAAAATCCCTGCAAGGCGAGAGATTGGGGAGAAGAAGACGCTGGGATGCACGCCTAAACACAATGTCTTAGCAAATTACTGGTCTACCATGGAGTCTACGGCTAATGAGTTGAATAGTTGACATCCTCTTCGAGTCATGAGTTAAGGACATGGATAACATGTCAGTGACTGCAGGACTTGCCTTTCTTTACTGAACTTGAGCCGCTGTCGATCATTGGGCGAATCTTCCATCAACCTGCTGACCTCCATCATGCAGCAGGGTGGTGTTTCGCTTACACACATGCCGAACTCGTTTCTTGCAGAGAGCCAGCTATTGAAGCAAGGTTTGGGCCTTCTCTGGTCCATTGATCTGAGTGGTATTGCTTTGCCGATGGGTGCCGTGCGCCCCCTGCTTGATGCAATTGGTCCGCACCTCAACAGATCTCAGGATCCTGCATAGCCAAAGTATCATTGCCACTTGCATGATGCCAGTCTGAGGGCAGCACCCGACCTTGACCAAAGTTGGCCTGGCAAGTCTGGGAATTGGGCGACTCGGAGTTCGCAGCGCCAAGAACAGCCTGAGCTGCCTGTTTCAGGGCTACCTGCTGGAGGCACTTGGCGAGAGTCACCTCGCTTGGAGATTCTAGGTGCCATGATCGCTTTGTGGCCTTTCCAGGAGGTTGATTTGGCTTGGATGCCTGGATCAGCAAGTGAGCATTTGTGCGACGAAGCCATGCAAAGTGATGGGTTCCGCAGAACAGCTAAGCCTAAGTCAGCAAATTGCAGTTTGGTCGTGAGGTCTCTTGAGTCAGAGATTGTTTGAGATGCTGCTGTCCAGCTGAGGAACACTTTCGACAGTGCGTCGTTTGCACAACTGGGCCGCTGCCTGACCTCGGCGGTGAAACTGCGCTCGCTTAGCATTGCTGGATGCTCCAGTTCCTCGCGATCGACCCGGGACAGTAGCGTCGATAGTTGCCTTGGAAGTGGATAGGTCTGCCTATGAAGATCTCCTGAGCTTAGAATTAGGCACTCTCTAGAGTAGTGCTGGACTCATCATGCTATTCGTCCAGGATCTTCCGATTGAGCACTTTCTGGAGCTCCTCCCGAACGCCCAGAAGCTGTCAGAACCTCGGGTTTTGTGTCGTACCGGCAGCTAGGAGTTGTTGGTCAAAAATTGAATTGAAGGTCTGTCCTGAACGTGACGTTCAACCACATAGACTTTCGCGGGGCGTTTATCATTGAAGACGCCTGTGACTCCTTGCGGTGCTTGAGGCAGTTGGTGATTGTCCAGGGCTCATTTTTTAGAAGTCCTTTTTTAGAAGTCCTTCTTTTTAATTCAGGATGAAAGATCATTGACGCGCCGTGCGTAAGGTTGACAATCCTCTTGGAGTACTCGGGCAGCGCTGCCTTTTCAGGCTTTTGGCTCACAAGACCTCTGGCTTGGAATGGTTGGAATATGAAGGCTGCGCATATGAAAGTGCATCCTTGATGCTGGACAAGGACTGCTGTGCCATCCAGAAGACTTGCAAAAACGTATTGAAGCTTCGTGACCCCCAAAGGACTCGCAGCAGATCTTTTGCCCTCAGAACCCTTCAGGGCGCTATGAGTTTGATCTGGCGCGGCCCTACCACCGCGCTCTCTTGCGGCGCCTCTACAAGACAAGTGAAAGATTCAGAATCAGGCCATCCGTTGCGTTTGGTCAGATCAAGAGCTCCTCTGGCTACCAACATCCTCACAAACATCGAGGCGTTTGGAATTTGCCCAGTGGAGGAGACCTCACCGTCCACTTCCAGGTGGACGGAATAGGCTGGGCTTGCCACAAACTTATGCCAGCTGCAAGAATTTGCTATCTTCGTTGTGTTATCTTTAGTGGACATGTGGGCATAGTGGAGACCTGAAATCAAAAGAATCTAAGTTGCATTCCGTGCAGGCAATGAGTCCTTGGAAGGAAGCCGCTTTTCTAGTTTTGAAAGCTACCTGGCCCAGCACACCTTGAACCGGCGCGTCAAGCCAGCTGTGCACAAGGCCATGCTAGAAGATGGCAGATTGCTTATTTTGCTGCAGTCTGGATTTCTTGCTCAAATTCACAAGGGGAGCTGGATGACACCAGGTGGTGCCACTGATCGCGCTTTGGAGAAGGAATCGTTTCAGCACCAAGGACTCCAACTGTTTTTCGTGCACTGCAGTGCCCGCAATTGCAGAGATTGTTTTTCAGATCAAGCCTGCAACAATTCCAAAGCAAGATTCAGAGAATTGGCTGAAATCCCGTTGGCTTGAGACGAGTCCGCAGGAGCAAGAGACCATGCTGCAATGCTTGTGCAAAGACTTCCTCCTGTCCGTGGAGCAAATCCGCGCTCTTGTTTGGTCAAGTGCAGTAGCCTTGCAGCATTGAGATGAAGCGCCCACGCGCATGTCCTTGTTCGCACTTTAAGGTCAAATCCAAGTGTTGAAATTGAACTTCTCAGCATTTGCTTCATTCTGGTGATGGGTGCTGGTTGTTTTGGGAACATGCACGCGCAAGCATTTGGGATATTCAAGGATTCAATGTTTTGGGCCTGCATAGTTGTAGGAAGTGACCTAGTGGGTATCAAATTCCGGAGTTGCTCATGTTGAGAGCGCCGGCGTCTTGAGGAATGAGAGGGAAGCTAGCGTTGAGTGTCAAGGCAAACACGCACGCGATTCGGCATGGACTCAGGTCCGCCAGACGGAGTACCTTTGCGTCTGCAGTCTGCCGCAGGATCGACCTGTACAAGTTCTCTCTATGCTACAAACCACTACCATGGAGGAGTATGTATCCAGGTGCAAGTACCTTCGTTCATTTATGGCCGTCAACTACGACTGCCCGAATGGCCACTACCATTTGGACATGCCAGACCCTGAGCATGAGAGAGAAGACTGCCAAGGTACATTCTGAGAGTCTGTGGTTGTGGAAAGAATGAGTACGTATAAAATCCATTATCGTAGTTTCCATTTTCTTTTCCATTATCCCCATTATGAGCCGGGGTCAAAATTACCGT